GAGAGGATGTGGAGCAAGGGGAATACTCCTTCCACTGTTGGTGGAGTGCAAACTTGTACAGCAACTCAGGAAATCAGTAGGGCAGTACCTCAGAAAATTAGGAATCTACCTATATTAAGACACAGCTATACCATTTTGGGCATATACCCAAAGGATGCTCAATCATGCCATAGGTCACTTGCTCCACCATGTTTATAGCAGCATTATTCGTAATAGCCAGAACCAGGAAACAACCTAGATGGCCCTCAAGTGAAGGATATAATAATATAAATGTGCTACATTTACACAATGGAATATTACCCAGTGGTAAAAAAATATTGACACCATGAATTTTGTAGGCAAATGGATGGAAGAAGATACTGAGGAAGGTAACACAGACCCAGAAAGACAAATATGGTATGTGCTTACTCTTAAATGGATATTAAATGCAAAGCAAAGTGTAGCAGATATACCATGTGACATCAGTGCATGGACATTCTACTGTCTCCTGGAGAGCCCTGGCATTCCATGTGATGTCACCAGTATTGTGGCAACACCAACTGTCATTGGGGCATTGGGCCAGTGTCTCGTGTTTCACCTACAGACATGCTGACTAGACTGAACAGGATTCTTGGGAGAGAGGATGGCGAGCACAGGGAGATCAGAGGAAGGCAGAAGGAAGATGACCTTCAGCCTCCATGTCACACATCAAGAAACAAATGGTTCTGGGGAAAGCACAGTGAGTCCTGGGGAAGGGATTGGGAGCTTCCTGAAGGAGGAAGGCTTCAGCTGATCCTTCCAGGAGTGGGGCTCAGGAGGGGAGAGTTTCTGAGAAGCAATGATGGGCCTATCCTGGTCCTCTGAGTTCATTAAGAGCAGACCCAGAGGTGAGGATATTCCATGGTGAGTTTGTAGAGAGCCAGGGATGGTCAAGGCTGAAGCTGCTCTGTTGAGGGCCCTCTGCTTTTGCTCTGAGTAGGAAGGAAGGACAGAGGGACTAAAGAGGTTTCAGTTCCAGCCCTGCACTTCACACACACTGGATTTCTTTTGGTGTGTGTCACTAATAGACGGAGAGTAAAGTCCCCTGGTCAGAGCTAGAGAGTCTCACATTTTAAATAACAACCACTGGCAGGGCAGGAACCACCAAGTATTGCCGCATGTCAGTGACCCCTAAGGTTTCTGAGTTCCTGCCCTCTCCCTAGCCAGTCATCTTTCCTCTACCTTGAGTGCAGGACTGGGACATCACTCTTCCTGTCAGTATTTGTTCTTGGTGTCTGACGGCTCACCTATGAATGCCCAGTTGTTAGGTATTTTCAGTCATACCTATCAGTAGTTGATCACACTTTCGCTAACATCATGATGGCTGGAATGTATTCTGCTGAAGCTTTTGGCAAAAGTTTTATCATTACCTGAGTGACTTATCATTGTTCTGACAGGACCCACATAATCTTCCACCACCCCCATACATTGTAACAGCCCCGTGGATCTTCTCTGATATGCTTGTTCAAATCATGGAAATTATTTTCCCTCCCCATTGTCCTGAGCTAATTTCTTAGCATCCATAATTTCTCATCTTCTTAGTTGGGGATCATCAGGATGAGAAGAGCTATTCCTGGGCAGTGTGTGGAAAATGAGTCTTGCTCTCCACACATGATAAACTATTGAATTAGAATGAACTAGATTCTAATGAATCAAAGAGATCTCGGGATTGGAAGGAGGAGGTGCTGAAGGCCACCCCCTGTGTCTCAGGAAAGAATCCTGGAAAAGGCATCTTGGCTATTGGTGAATTGGGGAAGAGCTTGTTATCAGATAGGTGATGACCATTGGCAGTGGCCCTAACAGTCCATTCTCTGGAAATTCTATTGTATCTTGGAGAGCCCGTGGCATCTTCTGTGAAATCACCAGTGTTGTGGCAATGCCAACTGCCCTTGAAGCATTCACTAAGTGCTTATATTGTTCATCAAATTGACATGTTGGCAAGACTGATCACACTGATTGGCAGAGAGAGGCCTCGTTTCCTAAGGAGGAGGTGAGGCTAGAACTGGACCTTCTAGTAATGGGGTTCAGTAGCTGTGATCATGAAGCAATGGGCCTATGCTGCTTATCTGGGTTCCTTGTGTTTATGTACCTACAGGGACTGCTAGGAAGGCATCATCCACACCCTTCTTTTTCACTGAGCAGGAGCAGCTGAACCAGGTGCAGAAACTGAAACTTCAGCTACAGATGATGACCAATGACAGGAATGAACTGCGTGAATTCCTGGCCCATTACAACAATGAGTTGAACAACAGGTATTCATCATGCCCTGTTCTCTAGTGACTGTCTTGACCCTACTGTGTCAATTCCAGCAGTCCTTGGGTCACTGGAAGCTGGACCTGCAGGGTGATCTGCACAAAAAAATTTTCTTGAATGTATCTGAGAGGCAGAACTGAAGCCTGTAGGAGTGAGATGGGACACAGGCTGTTCTGATTCCTCCTAATGAAAACCAGAGCCTGTGGCCTGAATCACAATCCACTGGACGGGCAGTAGGGTGTAAGATCACAACATGCATTTCAAGAGGCCTTGACAGGTGTTGGCATGTAGGAGATGCTAGGAGGTCTGAGTTTAACCTGAGTCTCTGTATCTGACAAGGTATTTACTTTTGCTTGTTGCTCTGGGAGCAGCTTGAAGGGCCTGTTGGTCCTACTTGTTCCATCTGTGTGTGACTGGAAGGCCTGGAGTCCATCCCTGCTCCTCTCTGGTCTTGTTCTTTGTACTGGGAGACAATGCCACCCACCTGCATTTCTCTGACATCCTAAATCTGTGTGGGTTTGTGTGCATGTGAATTGCCCTCTAAGGGGCCCAAACATTGCAAACATGGCAGGGGCATGTTTTGGCCTTTTCACCTCCCTCTCCCTTAAAAAACCATTAGATTATATTCCTTAATTTAGTCTCCAGAGTTCATTCCCTTTTGTGGACACCGACTCATTCTTAAAACTAAACATCAAACTCACACCATAAAAATTCATTTCTCAGCTACACTTGCCAACCTGACCAATCAGATCTCAGTAACTCACCCTAGCACAGACTAAACCTTTCTATTTAAAATCCCACTGCTGAAAAAAGCCTGATGTGTGTTGTCTGCCTTTGCCTGATCCAGAGGCAGGCTCCCAATGCCATGCTTACCCTGCTGGGGAAATACATCTCTTTGTGCTCAGGATTTGGTCTCAGTGTGTTCTCTACTGTCTCTGAGAGGCTCCCTTACACTGTGTGTGTATGGGGGCAGGGGGTCACTTCAGATCTTGTGAGTTAGAGATTGATAGTAGGCCTGAGGATTTGCCTGTTTCACACATTTCAGGTGATATAAGTGCTGAGACCAGGGAACTCCACTTTGAGCATCACGGTTCTCAGTCTTTGTGCTCACCCTGGTGCCTCATTGGAATTCCCTTGGGAGTTTATAAAGCCATCCTCATGGAGTGCCTCATGCATGGCAATACTGATGATGAGTCTGGGTATCCTTGTAAGGACAAGGCATTTATGTTCTCATGACAGTGGAAATGTCATTGCAGATTTCAGGTAAGCCCATGCCGGTGGACCTTCTTAGAGAGCTACTCTACCTTTCCGGGCCTACTAAGGAAGCTCATGGAGCCCTGTCTACCTCCCTGCTGACACCCAGCCTTTCCTGGCCCTGGGCCAGGGTAGCAAGTCTAATGCACATCAGGAGTTCCCAGTACATAGGATTCACGGTGTGACATCCAGTAGGCTAGGGTAGTGCAAAATACAACCTTAATTCATGGGGTTCCTGAGGCCTATGATCACAGGGTTCTTTGTTCCTGGGGCTATGCCCTACAAAAGGCTGAATGCAGAGCATGAGATGCAGAACACAGAGCCTAAGAAGGATATGTCAGATGTGAAGAAATTACCCAAGGCAATTAGTGAGGCCTTGTACAAGTGCACAGAGCTGAGTGAGAATACCAAAATCTACCGGTGAGTGCCTGACTTGGGTGTACTCCAGAACTTGGTAAGGACTGCTTCTTGTTGTCTGAAGTATCTCCAGTCCTGCCCGACCACACTGTCAGGAGGAATCCGTCCCTCCTGCCTCCTGCAGCCAAATGGCCCCAATAAACACACAGAGGCTCACATTACTTACAAACTGTATGGCCAATGGCTTAAGTTTCAGGCTAGCTAGCTCTAGCATCTTAAATTAACCCAATTATATTCATCTGTGTTTTCCCATATGGCTGCTACATTGCCAGGCTGCTGTCATGTTGCTCCTTGGGTGGCAGCTGTCATCTCCTCCACCTCTGCCTTTCTTCTCTGTCTCTCCTGGGTTTTCCTGCCTGGCTACTTCCTGCCTTGCCATAGGCCAAAGCAGGTTATTTATTAACCAATGGGAGCAAAACCTATTCACGGCATACAGAAAGACATCCTACAGCATCTTCTTCCTTTCTCCACCTTTGAACCAAAGTGAGGGCTGTGGTTCTAGTCTGTTTACCTCTTAGAAAGCAGCCTGCCTTATAGCTCTTGGACTTGTGCCTCCTAGACTGAGTTCTCCTAAGTGTTAAAAGTCTGAGAGCCCCTCCCAACATTTTCCTGTCAGTTTCTGGAACTTCTAGACAGAAAACATAGTTTGCACCATGGCTTCTGTGGCTCTGACAGGAGCTTAGAGAGCTGGTTTCTATGGGACACATGGATGGAATATATTTCAGATAGGTCTTCTGTCTTCCTCAGAGCATGGTTTCCCTCTACCTGCTCTTGTTTTCCCAATACTGTGAACAGTTAAGTACCAGGATGTGTGTTTGTGAGGTAGCAGATCAAGTCTTCAGAAGTATATGGATCCGTTTTGCTATCAGGGTCTTCAGAAGTAGTATAAATCTTTCTGGAATTTGGCTATTCTCTGGCTTTGGCCTGCACCTGAGTGATTCTGGCATGGATAATGAGGGCTCCAGCCCAGGGCTGTCGGGGATGGGGACATGGGACCTTGCAGGAATCATGGTATACCAGGCAGGGTTGGCAGATGGAGGCAGAGATCATCATTTCTTGTGATATTTCAGCACCCTCTACAGTCAGCACCTGAGTGAACAGACTCAGCTGAAAGAAAAAGTGAAAATGTTGCTAGAGGACAAGAAAAAGCTGCAGGGGGAGCAGATTTTACTGCAAGAGTCGCATGCGGAGGCAAAGAGGCTCTGTGAGGAGGCCCATGAGAAGATCTATGACCTCTGCACAAGGCACCTGCAGGTAGGTTGAAGCAGCAAGGCCAACCTGGCCATCAGTCTGACCATACACACACATATACGCACACTCATGTAACCATCTACTCACTTATCCACCTGACCCAACCCATCCAATAGTTCACTTCTGTGATCATTCACAAGTCTTTCTGGGAGTTAGCCTCTGATAGCAAGCAAACCCAACTGCTCTGCTGGAAGCTGCAGTCCATTCAGGGAGACGAGTAAGTCACATATCACTCACCTGTATGTCAGTATGGGAGGAGCCGGGCTGTGATGGGAGCCACAGAGATCGAGTGAGTCAGGTCAAGGGTCTGGGTCTCATTTGCTTGGCAGGGGTCATGTGAGATCAGAGCAGACACAGCATGGAAGGAGGAACGCCCCCTGAAAAAGTCAAAGACTGTGTCACATCAACATCTTTTTGGGTATCATATGGCATTTTACCCTCTTGTTCCCAGATTGCCATGGTGTCCTCTTTACCTGGCCAAGCACTTGGTTCACAGTGACAGAAACTAAATTAACAGCTTGTCAGTAGTGTTTGCTGTGAGTGGCATTGGCCCATTCTCCCATCCTGGATCTTACACTCTGAAGCTCACTGGATGATCAGGGTTGTGGCAAGGGCTTATGACAGGCGGTAATTAGGGTGACAGATTTGAGCCAATTGCATCAACATAGCCTGCAGAGACACAGCGTACTTCTCTAGGCAATTTTAGTCCAAAATTTTGCAGAACTGTGGTACTCACTTATAACAGCTATTGAGAAGATTTTAAAACCAACTAGCAATGTCATCCTCATCCAGTGTGATGTCCTCCTCACTGCATCCTGATCAATGATATTTTGAGGGATTTGTGTCTGTGTGTGAGTATGCCTGCCAGAGGGCACATACATCTGTGGATGTTTTGGAAGGTCTGATGATGACATCGAGTGTCCTCTGTTGCTTTCTCCCTTATGGTCTTAAGCCTGAGTCTCTCACTGAACCTGAAAGTTTCTGTTCTGACAAAGCTGGATAGCCACAGATCTTTGGATCTCCTGTCTCCTCACAGTAGAGTGTCCTGTATTATTCTGTCTCATTTTGTTGCTAAATGGTTCATTTGGTCAGAAAGAGAACTGACTTGTTGGTTTCTCTTAATTTTTAAACAATTTTATTACTTTGGATTTAATGCGTCTTATAATAAATAACAAAAATCAAAAATGGAGCTACTTTATAAATAAAAAAGTAGACTTTTTTTCTTTCATGACATAGAGATAACTTCCCAGGAAAGGTCTGTTTTGTCTACTGGCTTCACAATATGAAACCTGACATTTTGATACTCACTCTTAGGACAGAGTCCAACTCATAGTTATATAGAGTGCTGCATTTTAGAAAGTGATGTGGATGATCTAAGTATCCTTCCACTGACTGGCCTGGGGCTGTTTTCATATAATGTGCACTGCAATCTGGGCAAAAGTTGTTGGATAATGACAATGGGTGACTTCCATTCTCTGGTGCTGTCAATGTCTTCTGTGGAGGAGGCTGGGTAAGTTTAGTGAGGAGACTATGATGGTTCAACTTAAATCTATCAGGAGGCTTCCTGTCCCACTCTCTTCCCCCAGCACTTGGTTTTGTGTGGTCCAACTCAGTTGTGCAGAGGTTGTTACTTCTCTGTATGATCAGTGAGTCTGGTGATAAGAATTTCCCTGGGAAGGGAAATAAGTTCAGGCCAGGGCAGAAGAGCTTGGCTGGGTCTAAGAGGCTTGTAGACTGCAGAGAGGACCCACTACCTCCCCCTGGAGTAGAAAAGGTGCTGCAACATTCTAGT